ATAAATGAAATTCACAGAGTTTAGAAAACAAACATAGCTGACCTATATGCTGTCATTATATTCTACTGGATGGGTAATTGTTTCCTCACCAGATATGACAGGTAGGTCAGTGAGTCATTTACCCTTCCTTTATTGGTGGTGACAAATATTAAAGGACTAATTGCCTTCCCTAATCAATCCCTCATGAAATGGACTTGTTTTGGACACATTTCCTCAATGTCCAGAGTCCTGTTCTAAGTTTCCCTGCCCTTCCTCAGCTTATTTCCCCCACACAGATTGTCTTTTCTTTAACTATCTATATCAGAGGTATCCTTGGAAGGAGTGCTACCATTTGTCCAAAGTCTTCCATAATTGCGCCAGGCTCCACCAATGTGCCTTTTCCTCTGAAGAGCTCAGGTATTTGTAGTCTGAAATCACAGAATTTGGCTTCCAGTTATGTATTTTGTATTTTCTACATGCTTCTGTGTTAGTATTTTGTCACTAAATTATAATCTCCTTGAGGGCAGAGAAAATGTGTTTGTTTTCTGTATTTCTCATATTAAGTTAGGATGTAAAAATGCTGTTGAAATTATTAAGCATTAATGCACACGGCAGGAATTGTTCTGACCATGATCCAGTACATTTAATGTGTTGCCATCCACTGAGTTGGAAAACTGTTTTTTAAAAATAAAAAGGCAGATAGAATTCTTTGTCTTATTGTGAGGATAGATCAACAAGCAAATTGGTCATCATCACAAGATTTTCAAATGTATTCATTCTATTTCAGTTGAGAGTCATGATTTATTCATTTACTTAACAGATACTTAGGGATATCATCTAAATTTAGGTAGTCTGTGGAAAACAAAAGTGAAATAGACTTTTCTTGGAGTTTTCCAGGTAGTTGTTTTTTAAGAATTATGTGATAAACACGAGCCTTGAAGGCTGTATATGGGAAGGCTCTACAAGCACTCAGTGATTTTCAGGATGTGGTCAGAGGACTACAGGCATCAAAATCGCTGAATAAGTGAGAAGCTCTTGGGATCAGGGCTAAATACAGTGCATTTTAAGGTAAGCTCCCAGGTAATTCTTACATATACCAAAGTGGGGGTGGTTTATTATTCCTGGCTATGAAGTAAACATTTGACCTCTTGACTGGTGCATTTAGTGCCATTCTGAGGAATACCGAGGATGTTCTTAATGACTTTTGAATTCACAGCTCCTGTTAGGTGAAGTCTTATTCTACTGACAGGATGTAGTTTTCCTTTTCTGGAACGTCTCCATCTTTATCAATATCAGTACCTAACATTCTTGTGAAAGTTTATGATCTCTCTTTTCAAGTCAGAAAATAGCCACTTGCACAAAAATTAAGTCCATTATTCTGTGAGGAACGCAGAAATCACTTGTGGGTGTTGTTAGCTAACTCCATTGTTTGCCCCATCCATATGTACTTTACTATTTTCAAAGTGCTTTCATTTCCCATACACAGTTGAGAGTCTGTAGTACAGACCTGACCCAGATGTTCCTCCGTGAAGATAAACAGGCGATTGTTACGTGGACTTGCTCTTTATTAGCCATAAAACTGTCTTTTTTTTTCCTGCTGGGTCCAGATTCGACAGTTCTGACAATATGGTGACCCTGCTCTACTATTTCCTGCAACCCCTTTATTGAGACCTAACTTCTCAAACAAATCAATCACCTGATATTGGATTTACCATGAATATGTCTGGTGTAGAATGTAAACAAGCCTGAGAACATTGTACACGAACACTCACGGCCACTCTTTTCAAAAGAGATTATTCGAATGTTAAAGTTAGAACCATATAAATTTAGTTTATGTCATAGTCCATTTGGCCTAACCACCTCGGAAGCAAAACTATTCCCCAGTGAGCAACTCTTGTAAATGAGGCTTTCTGCTGAGGAATTTGAGATTATATTTATAGACCAAACGTATAAACAAAAGTCTTACAGGGTCTTGTCTGACCTTTTTTCCTGTGTCATCGATGAAGTTACAAATTAATCAATATTTCTAATTATAATCCATAAAATAGAATCCCAATGCATAAATGATCTTAACAATTGCTTCTTTAAACATTTCTGACATCTCCAATTTGTATTCTGAATATTGCCAACCAGTTATATCTTGAAGTGATATCATATTGTTTGTTTGTTTTTTTCCTCATTGGACTGTGAGCTTCTTAAGAACATGAAGAAATTTTTGTATTTTAAGAAAATTTCTGCAGTAGTTTTTCACATATGCAGTGTTTATTGGTTTCTCACTGAAGCTCTGAAATGCCAAGCCTTTACTTTGTTCTGCGAGGAAAATGCCATACTGAGCAACTCAACTCTGCACTTGCCTCCCACCATGAAAATGGGGACATGAGTGAAATAGAAACCTTAGGAGCATCAGGTTTTCCATAATTTAAACCCGATTTTATGAAAACATGCAAGTGTTCATAACAACAAAATATCTTCTTACATATTAATATACTTGAAAGAATATTTACACTTTTACTTAAGATAGTTTGTGTCCAGGTTTAGTCTTGAATGAAGTCAGATAAAACTGACTGATTTGAGGACAGCTGTATCTGTGGAGGGATGAGAGTTTGATAGGGGAGGAGAAAGAGAGAAAAATATATTTATGACTGCAGAGCTCTGCAAGACTCCTTCATGTGCATGACCCTAAAGATTTATATTTACTCAGTCAAACCTTGGTTTTGATGGTTGTTTATTGTAGACAACTAAAGATGAACAGAAAATAAATTGCTAGAGATTTTCATCCTCTGTTTCTTGCAGAGGGAATGAGTGACTCCAAATATTTGAAAATTTTTCTTGGAACCTGGGACTGATGAGTTATTTCTGGGTTCTGTCTCCTTCATATCTAGTTTCCAAGCTCCATGCACAAATATTCAAACCTCTTTGTGAGTTGCAGTTGAGAAGCAAAAATAATGTTGAATATTTATAGAATTCATAGCATCTATGAATTAAAGTTTTAAACATTTAAAGTTTTTAGTAAAGTTTTAAAAATTTGTTCCTCCAAGAAGTGAATATTTTCTCTCTTCTATCAAGTTTACAGATTTAACATAGTTTAGAGTGATGTAGCTCCTTTATTTTTTGAGACCAAAATTGTGTAGACCCCAGCTACACTAAGAAATAGTGTCCTTATTAGTACAACATATTCTTCTGAAAATGAAACAATTCAAGTATCCATTCAAGATTTAGTTACACTAATCTAAATTTTATGGCTATAGTTTTCTTTTGACTTCACTAGTTGTTTAGCTCAAACTTTACTCGTTGTTTAGCCATTTGTTTTGAAATATCATCTAGGTGTATTTGTTCTGTGCATTTAGCCTGTTTAAGAATGAATATAGTTTGGCCTTTTCCACTTTGTCTTCTGTATTTAGAATATTTATGTTGGAGTGAGGCTCTAGAAATATGCTCACAATGCTTATGGAAGAATCCTAAGAGGGAATTTATGTTTGCTTGTTTTATTTGTGATCTGTGACCTAATACCTCAGGTGCAAGATCTAATCAGAGGCATTCAGCAATTAGTGAAATGGGAAGTAATAAAATAACTCCAGGGATTTTATTAAGGGAGGCCCTTAATATTACTTCACCCCATCAGCAATTTTTAATCTAGTTCTTTATTTTTCATTTGATGGTATATTAAGTTTTGATTGTTTATAGAAATACTTTATGATTTAGAACACTGTGATGAAGAATACTTTAGAAAGTTATGTCTCTTCTGTGTAAACCGAAATACCTATTGGATATTATGTGGGAACATTTAATTTCATACTGGCATTTGCTTTAGAGTTGAAACACTATGAACTATATCCTTTTGAATTTCCCATTTGGTCTAAAATGAACAGATTATTAGAAAATAACTTCAAAAATTAAAATGGAAAACCTAAGCCCATATATTACATTTCCACAGATAGGGAGAGTATATTGTGTCCAAACTAGTTGAATGTTTTTCAAGATCTAATAGTAGGAATGGTATATTATATTATATTATATTATATATTTTTGTATTTTTAGACCATCATGTCATAAGGTGCCATCAGCATGCTGGCTAAAAAAAAAGGAAAAAGGAAAGACATATTTTCTCTCCCCAATATCTACATAGATTTAGGAAGAATGCATTGATCCTTGATCCCCGGTCTTGTCATTTGAGAAGTAAGAACAGTAATGAGACTGACAAAGAAAATGTGGATCAAGCACCTCCCAGGCTGAGACTCAGCAGACACTTGGTGATATCAGTTCCTTTCCCCAGTGAAAAAACCAAATACAGTCCAATCCCCCTTTGTAAGCAATGTGTTCACATGTGTGTCTGTGACTGTAAGCACCTGCCCATGTGCTGGCAAATACAGTCCAATCTCCCTTCATAGGTAACGTGTGCACAGGTGTGGCTGTCTGTAAGCACCTGCCCGTGTGCTGTTGGGGGTTGGAGCTAGGTTGCTTGGGTGCTTCTGACTATAGGATTCCAGGATTAATCCAGGATGAAAAGGTAGTTAAATAGATGTCTTAGTGTCAGATAGAATTTCAGGGTATTTCCTATAAATATTTGCTTGCTTTTATTTACTAACACAATGACAGGATAAGAATGTCTTCTAGGAGTAGATGAGGCCTGTTTTTCACAAAAGCATATTCTGGTCTGATGTTCTTTCTGGATGACAAAGTCTCCACGAAACAGCATTTTAAAACTGAAGTTTCCAAAATAGAATGATGTATTCTTCGTAAAGAAGGTGGGAGGGGTAATTATTATTGGCAATTAGGTTTCAAACAAATTCACTAGATACAGGCTAGAGAGGGAAAATACCAGTCTATGGGGCACCTAAACGAATTCAGTACTTTTTGACCCACTCATTAAAAATCAACTCTTACTGCACCATCACCAAGAGTGATTTATACACTTGAAGATACTGATCGGACAAATCTCAGTAGGTGAGTCATTTGAAAGGATTAAATTAGGACCTGACACTGTGTCCTGGGCCATTCACCTTCACACCTTTTTAATCTCTGTGTGTCTAGTCAGACTGGCTGATTTAGAATAGCAACTAAGCTTTTGAGAAGGTTTCAGACTTTTAAGCTAGATGCAGCTAGAAGGATTCACTTGACATGGCTCAGTAGTTTATATATGAGAATGTGCAAAAAGGATTTTCTTCCTTTAAAGTTTCAGAGGAAAAGTAAGTCCTTATTTTAAGTACTTGGTCTCGTCTTGGCTAAACTTTTCAGTATTACTTACATGTTAGTTTGTATCACCACAATTATGCAATCTAGTGTTTCTCCTGTCTCACTCAGCATTTAGGAGGCTTGAAGAGTTCATGAGAGCTGGATTTACCTATATCAAATCTACATGTCTTTACAATTGGAAATTTTAGCTTTTATGAGGCATATTTTACATTCAACCTGAATGACGACCACATATTTGTGAGATATAAAAATCATCTCAGAATTTTATAAGCCTATGATGTATTTGTTTTTCATATAGTGAACATATTTGTCTGAAATCTCATTTTACTCGATAATTAAAATGTTTTTCTTCCTGTTTTCTCTAGCAGTCTCAGATATCCATGAAGTGGCACTGTACTTTGTTAAAATAAAATGTTAAATGCAAATATTTAAGAATTTGCATGTTGCCAAATTACCAAATGAAAAAATAATTTGGGTGAGGGTAGTTGAGGAATTACATATGGTAAGGTAACTGTGAATAGTGTAAATTGATGTCCAAGTTTTATCTAAACTTCACAGCCCCAGAAAATTCAGTGAATTTTTCAACCTAAATGGAAGTTGTTACATTTGCAGTTTCTATCATTTGGCTCCTTCACAGATTGCTCCATTTTTTTGTTATACTGGTTTTGTGATACCCCATTTGACTATTTCACAGATCTACTCCATTTTTTGTGGTGCATTTTTCATGGTCCTAGAAGGATAATATAGTCATTCTCACAGGTTAAGTACCGTGGGCCAGGATTTGTTAGAGCATCGCAGAAGCCTTATATTCTCTGTCTTCACATACGAGTATTGGCCGTTTCCTCTTTTGGGCTGATAATTCCACAGATTTATTTACTTTGTGGTACATTTTCTTCGAATTCAAGAATCAGCTTTGGCTAAAGGTTATTTCAGCAGCCAAGCAGGTGTCATCAAAAGATACTTTCGTGGCAGACAAATAAGAGTCAGTGACAGTGATGTCATCAAGCTCTGTGCTGAAATGATCTGTCTCCTTGATGACACTGTAATTTAGGGCCACACTGTCATTGACAGGTTTCTCCAGGGGCCTCTGCTTGCAGTTACACAGCTTTCTGAAGGCTGCACGGAATTTCTGGGACATGAGATTATAAATCACTGGGTTGATGGCACTGTTGAGATAAATGCAAATTCTGCAAAAGAGCAAGAACCAATTTTCTTGGAAAGGGCTGGAGAGAAATGAGTTGACAACCACAAGAGTCCTGTAGGGCATCCATAAAAGGGCAAACAGAATCACAACCACTGCCAGCATCTTGGTGACCTATGGAGAAATAAAGAGAAATGCAGTGCAAACACAAAGGAAAACAAAACAATGACCATACGACATGCCCCCTTCTCCCTCAGCCCAATCTTCAGTTCCCAAGATGTTCTGAGACAAGGACTTAAGCACAGGGGGTTCCACTGGGAGATGATCCCAGGAAGCAGGATTAATGGTATAGGGAGAGCGTGATGGAGGAGAAAAAGCCAAAATAGGGTATGTTACTGAGACAACTCTCAGTCAAGTAACACCCTTCAGGATTATCTGTCCAGTGGGCATTTGTCCACTGGCTGCCATCTCCCCTTTGTTGAGGGATTCCCTTAGGGGTTTTAAATGCCCTGCACATCTAGGGTTCTCCTGCCTGGAAACTCCTGGGGCTCTGGAGGGAACCTCAAGGCAGAGACAGTCAGGGGATGCTGGATACTTGAAATGAGATGTCCTCGGCAAGCAGGAACCATCCACCACAGCAATGGCTGGAGTCAGATTCCAGCCAGGAGGACAGGACACACAGCACCTGAAGTGTCTGCGGCAGGCATTAGGGAACCTAGGGTTTAATCCCACTTTACCTACCTTATACATCGCCCTGAGAGATGATCTTAACCATTCTTATAGCTCGTCTGTAAAACGGAGCCAATATTGATCCCCTAAATCAAATAGGTAACATAGTAGTTTGAAAAGGATAAAGTATGTTAAGCAAAAAAGTCAATGGTTATTGAATCTACTATGTGCCAGATATTATACTAGGTGCTTTAGATATATTATGATGTTTAAAAAGCCTATAACCCTCCATTATAGGTATTGCACCCTCCATTTCCTCAAATTAGAAAACTGAGATGAAGATGCTAAGTAAGTACTTCGGCAGAAGTTGTCACGGAGCCAGGACTGCAATCCAAGTCCAAAGTGCTGCCCTTCCCACTGCACAGCTTTCCCTCGGGGGAGAGGGAGCAATGAACTGGAATTTGACATAGGGCCGACCCTACTCTTAAATGCAAGCAGTGCACAGGAGATAGGACAGTGGCACAATGAGTTTAACACCCAAGATTGCTCAGGGACAAGATTATCAAAGAGCATAATTGGGCAGATTCTTCTCATGCACCTTCACGTTCCGTGACAGGCTGGGGATTGGTCTGGAGGCAGAGCTGGATCATCAGGTTTTGACCCTCTAAATAGTTGAAATTCTTACTTAAGTCATTTATCTGTGCTTCCATTTCCACATGTGAAAATATGCCTGACCACATTGTTTCATTTACTTCATAAAGATATTGAGAAAATAAAATAATAAATATAGTAAGGGCTCTGAAACTTTTAGGCACTGTGGGAATATTAACCTTTGCTTAATGACAATCTAAAAGACCATATTTCAACTTTACGGAGGGTAAATTAAAATTTTAGCACTGATTATCTTTGGTAGGGGATATAGTAACTGATTTGTTTTCTTCAAAAGAAATACTTTATTTACACTTTTTAAAATAAGCTTTCAGTTATTTTAGTCTCTCACAGAGTCTGAGAAATTTCAGCTTCTTCAGCCCAAACTTTCTAGATGTTCTGACTTTGAAAACTGTTCCAAACAGAAGGAACAGATTCTTCCTCCCTCACTCCTCTTAACCTTCCAGCTGTTTCACTGAACCGGTGCCAGCAGCTGCTATCTTGTTCTGGCATCGAGGGGCAATCCTGTTTTGAGAAGGTTTTCAAAAATACTTTAGTGAAGAAATAAAGATTCCACATCTAAACATCTACTCTGTCATTAGTTTTTACTATAAATTCAGCTCCCAGTCTTGCATCTAATCCTGGTAATAAGATTGACTTTAGTCTCCTGTTTGAATAAGTCCCTTTTCTCCTAGCAGTCCTAACCTTAGGACGCTGGGACTCTGTCTTAACTTTAACATTATCTCTTCCACCCCAGCTAGAACTCCTTATAGGTCCTACATTGTGGAGGTAGTGCTACCCACTTGGTGTTATTCTTCCTGGATCTATGGTAATTTTCTTCCTCCTTGGCTCCTTTATCTCTTTTTGAACCACCATCTCTTTTTTGAACAACTCATACCACTTCCTTGCAATGGGACTTATGAGCTATCCACCTACTCTCAAGTTTCTGTGCCACCTCTGCTTCCAGGGCCATTTTGTAACTTCATTGAAGCTCTCCTTGCCCTCCAGGAATGTGCCTCATGCCCTCCTGTTTACCTCACTCTCTGTTCCCTGAAGTTCACTTCTGCCTCAGCCCACAGAGGATAGTTACACTTCATATTCTGTTCACTGGGGGTAGGGAAGTTATTGGGCAGAAGGTGTGATTCTCACACTGGGTCATGTAATATCAGGTAAACATTCCAGACAGTCTGACTTCTTTCAGAAATTAGGAAGATCTACTCAGTTAAGAGGCTAACTGAAGTTGGATTCCTAAGCAGGCTTTTAAGATTATGAGTAAATGTTTTACTTAGTCCTAAGAAATCAAAGGCTTAATTCAGTGATAAATATTCTGAGCTTTGGAAAAAACTATAGCAATTAGAATCTTTAGCATCAGCAGCAGCAGTCTCAAACCTGCCTCTCTGCCCTGCCTCATACTCTAGGTTCGCTGACATCAGGTCCCTGCTTCATATTTGCAAACACCCTCCTGTTCCTTGCCAAGGACTAAGCATCCTACTTTTGAATCCCTGATTTGATTCATAATTAGATTGCTACCATCACATTTGAGTCCTTTATAATGACTCATCATAAAGATATGTAAACACTATATTTTTTAATACTTGCAATAACTCCATGAGTAAGCTAGTATTAGCTCTATTTTGCATGTAAGAAATTAGGCTTTAGAGAGTACGTATGATTTGTCTAAGGACACGTGGGTAATAAATGACAGAGCTGTGATTCAAGCTAAGTCTACTTACTAAAGCCCATGCTCCTTCCTTTGTATTTTGTTCTCTCTATGAAAGTCTTTTGCACTGATGAAGATTTCTACTGTGTTCTTACTATTATGGTTGCCAAAAGATTTACCTTCTTCTAAGTATGAATCAAACATACTTATTGCTGATGAATTTCCGAACTTAAGGTTGGATTTTATCTATCTTTATATTCTTCTCTATAGTGGTCAGGTGAAACATTGAATCCACATTTAACATCTACCTACTTTTTTTGCTTAGTATCAGTGAGGGAGCAACTTTCATTGCTTCCAAGAAAAGCAACCTGTTTCCAGGCTGGTTCCTCTGCTGTGAGCCTCCACAGCTCCCCCTACACTGCAGCCCCCCGGATAATTTGACATCACTATCAAAACTTTTTATTGCAATGCACTGTATTTGTCAACCTCTCCAAAGATAGTAGGCTTCTTCCTACCAATGGGTAAGATTATTTTGGTCCTCAGGGATTTAGTACAGTATGTGACATAAAATAGCCATCAGTTATGTTGAATAAACTCAGGCATAGAAAGAATCATTTCAAAATATGTACCCACAATCCTTTTCTGAGTTTCAATAGTCCTGCATATTGATAGAGGATTTTGGCAAACATTTTATTTGGAGATTTAAAGAAATGTATCCCTTTTAATCAATAAATTGAAGACCTTAATATATTTTTCAGCTTTTTGTTTGAAATATGTTTTAAAAGATTTAAGGTGTGAAATGAAACAAATATAATGATGTCTCTAAGATTGACCCAGAGGAAAATATGTCTCCAGTGGGATGAGACAGAATGTATTTAATCCCACTCATAATTTTTTTTTAGTTAATTCCAAATACTTTGATTATGTATAATCACTTTCTAAAATGCTCACAAGTTTTTAGTGCGGCCATAGCTTGATTTTTAACAGCTTTCACTCAATATAGGAGCAAACATCTGGAAAGGAAGTGTCCTGGGGATTGTCTTTCATTACCAATTAATTTCACTGTGGTTGTTGAAATTTTATTTCTGTTGTTATTCCTTATCTCAAATAAAGTGGAAAAAATGCAAATCTGAAAATATCTTTGGGCCACTGTTTTAAATTTTAACAGTTTTGTTAGGGCACTAAATGGGGTAGGCAATTAAAGATAGTTTCTTTACAGAAGCCTCTGCCCCAGGACATAAAGGCCCTTGAGAAACAGCATGATGCTCTCTCCAAGGGGAAAAAGACTCCTTAATGTATTTTTGATTGGGAAGGAATTTACCACATCTACTAGGAGATTCCTTGCATCCCTACTGTGTACCAGTCAATGTCCTGTCTTTTGAGGACTAAACAGTGATTCGGAGACATTGCCCATGGCTTCGTGTACTCTGTGATCTCATGGGCTGTTTATAACACAGTGACTCATGCTGAGGCAGAGGAAGGCTTGGGTTCTTTGAGAATGCTTGATCTGGACTTGGGGTTGAGGGGAGCTGAGTGAGGGCTTTCTGGTCTCAGTGGCACCTAAGCCAAAGTCTGAAGGTAAGAGTGGAGGAGGTGCTCCTGCAGAGACTGTGTGTGCTGCGGTCAGGAGGCATGAGATAGTGGGGCATATCATGGGGACCAGAAACAAGTTAGTATGCAAGCTCCAATTGGAGACCGGGTGAACAAGCAGAGCTTTTTCTCTAGGAAGCCTATGGAAACCATTGTAAGAACCATACTTTTTCCACAGTGAGGTGATGTCACACTCTGTGACGGAAGAAGAGATGCAGCTTCCAAAGGAGAAACAGAGAACTGAGTTTTGAAAATGTCATCTCCATGGAGCCACTTAGTGAACAAGGAAGTAGGCAATCATTTTTGCATAGTATTTTGAGGGCAAGGAAAGGAGGTTGTAAAAATCAGTTGATGAAAGCTTAGTGCTTAGAAAGAGAGATGGTCTGCAGCAATGATCAAGGAGAAGAGCTGGGTGGGAACAGGAGGGTCTCAGCTGGACGGGACTCTGTCCTTGGCCATCATAGTGAAGGGTTACTCTGTGAGCATCGGCTTAAATTTTTAAAGTCAAATCCTACTATGTATGTTTTACTCTTCACTGTATTTAAATAAGTGGCATATAGTTCTCATAACAGAGTTTGGATTCAGTCCTTCTCAACACATCCTTTTG